GTGTGTCCCCTCACGGGGCTGCTGTGACACCCCGGGGGCGTGTGTCCCCTCACGGGGCTGCTGTGACACCCCGGGGGCGTGTGTCCCCTCACGGGGCGTGTGTGACACCGCGGGGCTGTGTGTCCCCTCACGGGGCGTGTGTGACACCCCGGGGGCGTGTGTCCTCTCATTGGCGTTGTGTGTCCCCTCAGGGAAAGCTGTGTCCCCTCACGGGGCTGTGTGTCCCCTCAAGGGGCTATATGTCCCCTCAGGGGGCGGCTGTGTCCCCTCACGGGGCTCTGTGTGTGTGTGTCCCCTCAGGGGACGGCTGTGTCCCCTCATAGGGGGTGGGTGTCCCCTAACGGGCAGCTGCGTCCCCTCATGGCGTGTCTGTGTCCCTTCATGGGGTGTCTGTGTCCCCTCGGGGAGCGGCTGTGTCCCTTCACGGGGTGTCTGTGTCTGTCCCCCCTTAACGGGGCACCTCTGTCCCCCCTGACAGGGTGTCTGTGTCCCCGTCACGGGGTGTTTGTGCCCCATCATGGGGTGCCTCTGCCCCCCCTCACCGGGTGTCTCTGTGTCCCTCTCGGGGTGTCTCTGCCCCTCTCCGGCACCGGGCGCCGTTAAATTCCGCTTTCTCCGCGTTGCTCCTTCCCTCGTGTCCCTCCCTCTTTCTGCTCTGGTGGTTCGGGGTTTGTTCTGAGCGTGTGGGGGAGAGGGGCTGTTCTCCCTGGTTGCTGGGGGATGAGGCGGCCCCTTCTCCCGTCTCCCTCGCCGCCGCCTCCAGGGAACACGAAACTTTCCCGCTGGCGGGAGCTCCGCTGCATCCAAGGGACCCGGGAGGCTGGAGGCTCCTGGGTTTCGGCGGAGCCCGCCGGTCCCACAGGCTCTGTGAGACACGGGCGGTCTTTTGTTTTGTGTTTTATTTTATTTGCCACCTTTTCCACAGAGCGGGCCAGCAGAGAAATCCCTGGGGAATATGCTTTCGAGGGTCTCACTCTCGAGCTCCTGCGTTATGCGTGCGAGAGGGGAAAATGAATAATTAGAGAACAGTTCCATGAAATCACTTACCGAAAAATTAGCTGCCCATTAAAGGGGAAGCGGTGAGGAGCAATCATGTAAATCCTACCTACACCCAACTGTGGAGGGGAGGCAGCGAGCCTGACTCCCAGCCCTAGGGCTGCCGGCTGGCATCGCCGTCCCCATCTCCCTACCCCGGGAGGAGAGAGAGAGGGACGCGTGGGTGTGGAGCGCAGTGGTTTAGTCCACACCCCGCAGCCTCCCTTCCCCAGGCAGCCTCGGGAGCCGCGCTCATTCTCCTCCCTCTCGCTGCCAGCCGGTGTGTCCGCGGCGGCAGGAGGCGGAGGCGGCGGGAGAGGAGGGGAGAGAGGAGAGGAGCGGAGAGAGGAGCGGCGGACACGCCGGGGCCGCCCGGGAGAGCCGCGGCGGCGGGAGCGCCCCGCACTCTCCGCATCCCTCTCACGCCCGGCATCCCCCGCCGCCACCGCTCGGCAGCAGCAGCGGCACCGCGCCGGGGTCCTGCCCTCCAACAGTTCCCGCTCCGCTTTGAGGGAGGAGGGAGGTGTAGGGGACACGGCTTTTTTTTTTTTCTCCATTTCGAGGGGATGCTGAGAAAGCAAGCCGTTCCCCTCCCGTGTAGCACATTGCCTGGGCGTTCCTATTATGGAAGTTAAGTGAGAAACTCTGCAGCTTGAACTGATTTGGGGAGAGAAAGGGAGAGAAAAGGGTAGGGGGAGGGCGAGAGGAAAGCAAGATAGCCGAACCAAGCCAATGGTTTTCCTGCAAAGTGCCGGGAAGTTTGTGGAGCACTTTCTAGGAATCAGGTCCTTTCTCAGAGTCTCTCCTTGTCTTCCGAAGAAAGAGCTTGCTTTTGGATTGCCATGGATCCTAAAGAGTCTTAGACACACTTGAATAATTCCTCTGCTCGGGCTGGATTGGTGGGAATTTAGGAAGGAGCGTGTGTGCAAAGCAGAAGCCTCCGGAGCTCACTCGCTGCTCTAATCTGTATGGATCTAAAAGTGTCACATTCAAGACCTTTGCATCTGCAGCTTTTGATTTCAAGATTTCCCTTTCCACTTTAAGTAGCTGCTAGGAAACTGAAAACTTTCGGACCTACCTCTTACTGGCTTTGGATACTTTTTTTTTCTTTTTACTTTTTTTCTTTTTTTTTCTTTTTTTTTTTTTTTGATCTCTGTGGAATTAGTCTCGCAAGCGATCGGAATTGCTTTTACTATGTCAAAATGGGTCTGCTGACGCCACTCCTGCTCTTCGGATTTGCATTTTTTCAAGTCTATGGTAAGTTCTCTTATTTTAGACTTGTCATTTCTGTGCAGAAATCCCCTTCATCTGAATCTGATTTGGGACAGCACATGGACGGCATTATGAACTTTAACGTTACAGAGCCTTAAGTTTGTCCCTCGTATAAAAATGCTATTTGGGGAGGGAGGGGTCGGAAGAGGGACAATACATGTTTTCAATAAGCAGTCCTTCCCGTTTCCTAACTTAATGGGAAAGCAGCTTATGAATGGAAGAATGTCAGCTTGAGGTGGCGAGGAGAGAGTAAAAACTACCGTGTTAAATCTTTTATTGGGGGGTGGGAAGCGGGAAGGCGAAAGGAAAGGCAGGGAGCTGTTGTAGCTGGTATTACTTTGCCGCCTTCTATTGTTAAACTTTTCCACCGGGAGAGCCAGCTGATGAAATAAATAGGTTAGCCCTGCCTCGGCTCCAGGTGAGGCGAACTGGCGGATTTCCAGAGTCCCTCAACGCCTGGTTCGGCGCTGGCGAGCGGCAGGAAGGGAATGAGGGAGGGAGGGAGGCGGGCTGGGAGCGCGGGGCGGCGGCAGCGCGGCACCGACCACCCCGCTCCACCTCCGCCCACCTCCGCCGTGCCGGGCAGGTGGGGCGGGAGGCTCTTCCCATCGTCTTCCCCCTCGTTCCGGGCTTTCCAGAGGGAGTGTTTCCATGAAGCTCAATAGCCTCTGGGGAAAGAGCGGGTTTCCTTGCTGCCCCCCTCCTCCCCCTTTGGGTCTGCTCTGCAACGTTTCTTGCGGTTTTCGAGTTTAAGTAACGGCTGGGGAGCTGTAAATGATCATCTTGGGGAAGTACGCTTTAGTAGGGCGAGAACTTCAGTGCAAGGGTAAATTGCCTTTCAGAGTAGGGGTGGGCGCTGTGCTGCCGCGCAGACGGTGGATGCGCTGCAGCAGTTCAAGCACAAGACTAGGAGCGAGCATCCAGTTCTCCAGGAGCCTGTGCTGGCACCAAACGCTCGGCAGTGCTCCTAGGATTGAGTATTTGCAACTCTAAGCAGTCCTTTAGACTTGAGGTGAATTTAATGCCTGGGACCCTGGCTGGTTTTGCATGTCCGTCAGAGAAAACTTTGTCTCAGGAAGCTGCTCCCAGCATTTACTGTATCAGCCCCCAGGCGAGGGCTCTGGGTTTATTGTTTGCAGTCACAGGCTGCTTTGGGTGTTTCTCCACCACCCCCTAGCAAGAAAGGAGGCGGAATAGGTGAGAAGAAGGAGACATCCAAGAACAGTTTTACACTGGTTCCGTAATATGCTCTGCAGTTTAATGTTCAGTAAGAAAATTTCTGTGTAATGTGTGTACATGCTACACCGTAGGAAGTTTTAACTGTGAAAGGGTTTAATAGAACATTTGTGGCAATCAGTGTGGTCACAGTTTTATGTTTGCTCTATTTTTCTTACTGTAACATAAGATCCTTAACTTTAAGACCACCGATATTGGAGATAGCTTTGTATACAAACTGCAAACATCAGGCTGTAGAAATGTAATTATTAGTAAGTGTTTAAAATTGTATGTAGCTAGAAGGAATACAATTAAAGTGCTCAGTGGAAGTGACAGAGTGAATCAGAGGAGCTTGGTGTTACAGAATGTAATTAATGTACCAGGCTGTTTGGAGATATATGAAACAAATGCAATTAACCAGCTTGCTGGAACAACAGGAGCAGGACATAATTTATTCGAGTTTTGTCATGGGGAACACAAGTAGAACCTTTGTTCTGGTTTAGCTTTATAGGATGGGGGGGCACAGGTGAAGCACGTAGCTAATTTAGAGCTGGACCATTAGATAAAAAAATGCCAAGCAGCTGCCTGGAAGAGATGTGATCCTCCCCTTTTGTGGGAAGATATTGCAAGAGACTGTCAAGTTTGCCTACATTAACAACTCCCTGAAATAAATAAATAAAGAGCCTTGTGGATAGCACATCATGACCAAGTAGAGATAAGCTGTTATTGTCGAAATGACTAACAAGTAGCTTTGAAGAAATACTGGCAGGCAAGCTTGGCAAGCAGTGCTTTTGTCTCTTTAGAAGCATAGTAATTACGATCACATCTTAGGGTGACATATACCACTAGTTGCTTTGAAAAGATCTATATCAACATTAGCACGATTTGTAATGCTTTAGTTTAAGAACAAAAAAAAGCTAAAACTTAATAGGCCACTTGTTTAAGAGCTCCTTGGTTTGTTTTCTGTGTTTGAAAGTTAGTGCCTTTCTGCTTTTTACAGATTTTTTGTTGTTGGGTTTGGTTGGGTTATTTTATTTGATCCCTTGGCATCAGGTCCAGACACAGACACTGTAGCATTTGAGGCGTGTTGGCCATCCTTTTCCTTGTGAAGTTAGTTTTGTTTATTGATTCATAAATGATATAGGTCAAAATGATAACATTTTTCTTCTGCAGTTGTTTTTGCTGCCAATCCTTTTATGACACCTGAAAATTGCAAAGCTTGATGGAAGTGGCAGAAAGTATTTGATATTTGCATACACATATGTAGATTTTATTTGGTTTATTATTGTGCTTTTGATTTTCCTGCAGTCCTGCCCATGTTCCTGCTGTCTGTTCAGGGAATAATTTTAATTTTCTTTTATTGGAGCTATCAATCTTGGTTGCAGTTCTTCGGAGAAAAAACCCAAACAACAAATCAAACACATCAAAAAAGCCCAAACAACAAAACACCCCAAAACCCCCCAAACAGCAAAACACCCACTGACAGATTCTGTACCACAAAATGGAATGGAGTTAAAAGACCCCATGGGTTTTTCTTTTACTATCGTTCAATTGATTCTTCTTTCATTGTTGTGTGTTTTGGTTATCTTTCTTCCAATCATTAATAAAACTTAAAAGGAAAAGTATTGACAAAGTTCACAACTTCTGTGAACACAGGTTTTAGTGGGACAAATTCTGCCTTGGTAGGACTCAGAAGTGCTTTCAATGAAAATGATAACTTTTTATGTCAGAGCTGGCTTTTAGCCATCGTCCCTTGAAAACTGCAGGTGTGATACTCTTGGATGGGCGATGGTGTTAAAGATACATGAGAATAATTCTGTAAAACCAGCATTTTATCTCCATATTAATATATATCAAAAGCACTTATTTTCTTAATGAAAAGTATGCATTTGAAATGGTAGGGTGGCTGAAGCATTCTGTATTTATTTCTCTTTTTTTTTAAATTTATTTCTTCATGCCAGTGAACTACACATCTGTGGCCTTGTGCTGGTCCCTGTTGCCTGCTGGAGAACAGGGCTTACATATAAAGCTAGAGTATATTCTTCCAGTGGGTATTTGAGCTGACAGGGTCTTGATCTCTCATGTGAGTTTTGCTGTTGATGGATAACCTTTGCTTCTGTGGAATGTGTGCATTTTAATGCATTGAGAGTAAAATTCTGAAGTGGAGAGTTTGCAGCCTTATTTCCTTGAGATTGTTCTTCCATAAGATCCAATTCTGCAGAGTATTTGTTTCCATGTCTCATCCATAATCTCACTGAAATTAATAAGAATTTAAACATATGTTCCAAGTTAAATCATATGCTTTAAAACTTTGCTGAGTAGGGATGACTTTATGCCCATAATGAATAACTTTGCTGAATTAGTCTTAAGATTTTGCTTTCTTTACTTCCTGTCTGGTAAGTTGTTATTGCAACAACATATATTTATGTGCTGAAGACAGGCAATGAGGAAACCCTGCCATTGTACTTTCAGAGATGGGTATGTTGTTTGAAAACTATTGTGAAAATCCAAATAATTTGGTTTGTGTCTTTGCTAATTTGGAACTCTGCAAGAGGTCTGATACCCCACAAATCTTTTAGAAATGTTGAACATGGGGGATTTAAAACTTTTGTGTGAGTTCCATTTACTATAGTAGTCCTTCCATTAGGAACTTTCTGCAATGATGAAATTGATGGTGCTCAAGGAAAGTAAGTTTTAGCAATGCAGGCTAAAGATGTGTAACCTTTAAAGCAGACAAAAGGATTAAATACATTTTTAAAGAAGTATAAAAAGCATCAAGGAGATATGCCAAAAAATGTGATGAGAGGAAATAGAGGCTTTGGCTGGTCTGTCCAGTCAACTCTATTTCCAGGAGTTGCTTTTCCATAGCAATGTGGGCTCCTAGCCCTACACTCAAGATGTGCTCTGTCCGCTCCTGAACCATTTAGTGGAAATTACTAAAGAGTATGGAATAGCTTTTTAGCCATTTGCTACCCTTGAATTGCTATTCAAATATTGATCTGGGCTAAATAGATTGCTAACAGGTTCTGTACATTCTGTTTCAGCCACCTAAGAGGAACACTGCTGTCAGGTTTTATCTGTTATCTCAGCTGGCGTGGCAGAGGTTGCTCTTCCCGTGGCTGCCATCTGGCTCACCACCTCTCACATCAACCTTGTGGAGGATCCTTAGTAATCATATTGATGCTGTTTCTTGCCAAGAGGCTCAGTTACTGGTGTGCTTTTTCTACATTTCTATAGAAATCTCTTTATTTTGCAAGAAGAAGAAGCCATAAGAAAACAAGTATTTTCTCTTGCCAAATAAATAAAGGTGTTGACTTTTTGGTTCTGACTGAACAGAAATTTCTTACATGTAGCTGCTGAGTTTTTGCAGAATGCTTATTGTTACCTGAGGTTTCTTGCACTTACAGGAAAGTAACCTGAGGTTAACTCATTAGAGGTTTCCTGCACTTCACAGTACACATGCCTTGTGTGTTCAAAACAGTTCCTCTACATTTTGGTACATAGAAGGGTATGGAATCTGATCTTAGGTCACTACTTGTCTGAGAATGTTTACGATAGCTTTTATGCAGGATAGTCATGTGGACTGTTAGTTATGAGATCTTTGCAAAATAATTGTATAGAAATCGAAATTTGTAGATATGTTTTAGTCTCACCATTTTTACTCTCACACCTGAGTTCTACTACATAATGCAAATTGTGAACTCTCTGCCCTTGAAGTCACGTGTTCAGAAATAAGATTGAGTTGTTAGTGTTGTCCTCACCTAAAACCT